TCGCCTATAGAAATATTTCAACACTTTATTTTTTACCGTTCGTGTATCGGCAGAATACAATGTACGAGGAAGTGTTCCTGCTCTGAATACATGGCGTATCGCTTACAATCAGGTATCAGGAGAACATAGTGTGACTGTGAAGGTGTTCCTGTGCTCTTATACACGGAAGTATTGGTTAGAAAACTCTCCTAAAATTTCTGTATCTACCGGGAGAGCATGATGGTCGAGGAGAATTTCTTTCATCACCCACAGGAATATGTATTTCAAAACTTTTGGGTTAAATATTTAGAAATCTGGTATCAGGACAATATAATGTGCGAGGTGTTTCTGCTCCTAATACATGGTGTATCTCTTACTAATCTGGTAATCAGAAGGATATAATGTGAAAGCGTTCCTGCTCTTAATACACGGGGTATCAGTTACAACACTTGTTCCTGTAGCTACCAGGAGAACATGTTGGTCGAGGAGTACTTTTTCCATTACCCACACAAATATTGATTTTATTTTGGCTTAAACTTGTACTAATCTTGTATCAGGAAAATATAATATGCGAGGAACATCAGTTAACAAACTCTTGTTGGTCAGTGATTGGTTCGTAACCCCAAATTATAATTGCAACTTAAGATAAATTCCACGCCTTCTTTTGGAAAACTGCAGTCAATACTCGACGTGTTGTGCTCTATTATAGCGTACACAGGTTGACCGAGAGACGGAAAAGTGCTATGTTCAATTGGAAAATCAAGATTTCTGTTCATTTTGGAACAACGAAGTTGGGTTAGTTACAGCATTTATAACTTAAAAATGGCGGAACCGATTTTCATGATCTTTGGCTTGTCGGATTTGTCCGTGTCCCAGACTATTAAAATATTTGAGAACATACACGGGCCGAGTTCAATTGAAAGAGAAGGGCAGACATGAGAATTAGGTTAGGAAGGAAGGGCGTATTTGTGTGAGGTGAGGCGGCGCAGAAAACCACGCATTCCATGAAGAAATTCGACTACACCAAACACGATTTAGTAATCAAAGGTTTCGTATTTTGATTGTTCTTTCGTGCGACGTTAATGTTACTTGGCGTCTATTACGATCAAATCGCAATGGACGTTAATGTGTATTTTAATTGATGGCGGCCATTACTTTTCCAATTGGGAAAATCGTCGCAGTTTTACAGCCTGCACTTGTCGTTACACGTAATAAAATTACTACATTGTTGTCGTATATCGCCGATTAATTATTTTTCCCGTAACTTTATGCGCTTTCGCGCGATTTTTTTGCGTCGTTATCGGTTTAATTGAGTTATAAGTTAATTAATGATTTTTCACAACTTGAGACCGTTGCGTAATGATGATGGTGGAACATTGGTGTGTAATTAGTTCCGTCTTCGTGCGGCGTCTACCGTATGGGCTCTTCCAATCTGACGAAGATTGCTTTTAACCGGAGAATCCGACCATTTTATGTACACGTGGTTAATGAGATTTTGTAATGATTCAATGCATATTTAATTTAGATTCTCGTACTTATGAATATTTAATCACTCTTTACTATGCAATTTTTTACCTTTTAACATTTTGCGATGAATGTTTTTACTAGCCATTAACGGACTCGAGAACTATTGTTGCTCGTTTTATGGCTGTGGTACATTAGATCATTTTTAAGGTGCACTAGAGAAGCTGAAAATTGATGTCCTGGTGCAGTAATGAATATCAAAATCGAGTGGAACAAAAACACCAATAAAAAACAATAATAATCCATTTTAGGACTAAGGTTTATTTGGAAAAACATGTTTGTTTTGGCCACTCTGTATACGCATCTGTATTGTTTATTTAAAATAAAACCAAAAGTTGTATTATCTTGAGGTATCATCTGTACATAAACAATGATTATGTCAAACAAAATCGACTGCACCAACTTTACGTGTGCTAAATGGAAACAAGGTCAAATGATCCTTCGAACAAAAACCACCAAATTTAAGCTTTACTTGAAATGTTCTAACAATATTTACAATGGAAATAATCTCAGTTGAAACGAACATGTGAACGCCTTTACCTAACATTTTTAAATGAAAATTAATAATTGTTCTAATCGTTAAAATAAAAAATGTATATAATCTAGGACTCCCGCCGAGGCTGTGCGTGAAATGCACTGTCGACAGGCAATCGGAGGAAAGGAGGCGTGGCTAATCTCAAAATCTGACGTGGTTGGGTCCACCCGGTGTAGTTCTGCAACTTCGAATCACCCTGTATATCAATCGTAATTTCGTTGAAAATATTTTTAGGGTTTTCTACATTCCCCGACAATGAATTTTAAATATGTGCGTTAATAAACCCACAATTTTTCACCCACGCACTACTACCCCCCCCCCCCCCCCCCGTATAGTGTATTTTATATTTTTTATACTTTGCAACTTTAGCTTTCAAGTTGAAATGTAAACGTATGAATGTTCTTCATACCTGGCTCACAATCGTCAAAGCGGTGCAGGAGCGGCGGGTTTTAATTTTTTGCACGGGGGTAAGGGTCAATTTTCTTGAAGAATAGGAATCATAAATTAGGATGTACTTTTATTGAATTTTTAAGTAATGGTACACCGAAAAAATCCGGTGGGTCATGTCATGTTGTTAGCTACTCCGGCGTTCCGCAAAAATGGGCGAATGCGGCGATAGGCGCACGATGCTCTCGCAGACGTCTGCGTCTCGGTCCAACATCTCTGTCTCGGTGCCATATTAGATTAGGAAGATGATTGTGAATATGGGTTTAAAAGATGGGCAATGCATTCGTGCTCCAAGCTGTATGATTTAAAGTTGTCATTTGAAATTTAAAGCTACCAATTCTAATAGTCTTCATATGGTGAATTTTAAAAGTGACGAGAACAATCTAAAATATCTCATTTCTTCTCCGACGCTATTAAATATTAAGGAATGTCCAAAACGGGCCTCTCACGGGCAACTCGTGCACAAACTGAGGGATATCAAAGGAAATTTTGGTACAAAAAAAAGAAAAAAAGTAGGTATCACAATAATATAGTAGAGATACTTGTAATGTACAGAGTGTTCTATTTTCGAAATTGTTGGTGCTATCAAAAAAGAAATAAGAGGCATCATATCATGTGCTCTTTTTGGGTCAAACTTAAAATGGTAAAATCAAAAATTGAAAATATTCGCTCGTTTAAGAAATGCGGGGGAAAATAAAAAAATTGTCAATTTCAGAGTGACCCTATATTTTCTTAGTTAAAAAAATACAGAAAAATGCTAATTGCAAAAGTTTCTTAGCAATGATTTTTGAATAATCTGCATTTTTTTAAATAAGTATACGAGGCCAGGTAATCAGGTTCTCAGACTTAACCTCCTTTTTTTAAATGGAACATTGTGTATACTTTAATCTAAAAAGATGGCATTTTAAATTTTCTTTTCACAAATATGACATAAGAGAATTACAAAAAGATTCAAGTGATTCAAAAAGGTACAAACAGATTGAAAAAATTAAAAAAGGTTCAAACAATTAAAAAAAACATATTTAGTTTTTTTAAATGTTTTTTTAATCTTTTTGAGTTAACATTGAATTTTTTTCGTGTTATATTATAATTTAATATGTTACCTATCATTTTAGAATTAAATATACGGGATGTTCCATAAGAAAAAGAGGTTTACTTTTTTGCGTAACTATACTTTTAACTAAGAAATTATAGGGTCATTCTGAAATTGACAATTTTTTGATTCCCCCGTATCTCTTAAGTGAGTAAGTATATTCAAATTTTGAGTTAACCATTAAGTTTGACTAAAAAAGAGCACATGACGTCTATATTACTTTTTGATAGCACTAACAATTACGGAGGTACCAAGGTATGGCTTGTACATTATCATATGATACGTTTCACTGATTTCCTCTTGGTTGAACAGTTAGAAAAAGAAGGAAAGGCATAATTTGTCTACTCGTAGCTTCTGAAAAAATAGGTCACACAGGGACCAGGGTGTCTAAAGAAAGATGAGTCGATTCTAGTGGATTCACATTCAGATGGCAGATTACAGAGATATCGCAATACTTTCTATATGTCAGAATGTGAGTTGATTGCGGACGTTTGTGTTACATCGCTGTCAAAAGAGTCGCACTCGCAAGTCTAGTAGAATTGGAAACGCAGTTATCCTTTACCCATGTACCTACTGCACTGCCATCTGGAGGTGAATTCCACTATAGGTAATGCAAATGGAAAGTTACATATACAGGGTTACTATTAAAGATGGACCCCAAACTCTCACGCTCAAACCGTTTGAGATGTACGAGTAGACATGAAAATTAGACGTTTCCATATGAAATTATTTCACATATTTTGAGGTTAAAAATTGTTTGGTCACTTGGTTAAAATTTCATAACCCATAACCAAGTATCAAAGGATCAAGGGTGGTTAAATTTTGAAAAATGATAATTCTACAATCGGCTTGAATTTTGAATTGGCGACTGCCCGAGAAGGATTAATCGCAAAATTACGTGTTTTGACACACTTTCAGTGTAGGTGGATTACGTTCCCCTAGTTTGCTTCACCTTGTCAATCCCGCAACTGCAAAGATGTGTAACCATTGACTCATCTAAGCACTGTAAAGAAGAATTAGATATTTTAATTTTAAATTGCAAAACTGTTCAAAGGAAATTTGAAATGGATTTTTTTTTCATCAATTAACAGTTCCTTGTAATTTTGCCAGCATCATTTTGTGAAAGTTGGTCTTGGTTAGATCGTTACCGACCACTTTTTTAATTAGAGGTGAATTTGTTACGTCGGCATATGGAAAGACGTTGGCGAGCGCAGATGAGTGTTTGGTAACGGTTAAATTGTTAAGTACGTAAGAATGCCAATGAAGATTTTTGCCCATTGTAATAATCTCAACGTATTTATTGCAGAAGCGCTTTGAATTCTCAATTTGAAGTAGTAGTAGTTTATAAGAATTTGCCGCACACTTATTGCATAACCCGAACTAACCCACCTGTACAGGTAACTTAACCAAGGTGTGTTTTAGGTACTGGTAGTCAGTTCTTGGCCATCCTCGAGCATAAGCACATCGCGAGTCATGTGACGTTGGCTTGCCAGCGTATGTATTGCTCCACGGCATGGGGGCATGGATATCCTTATTATCCCTCCTTCTTCTGGTGGGTGCTGTGTGTGGTGGTGCTAAGGAGAGAAACAGAAGTCATGGTGGCGGAAACGTCAGCAGCCGATCGTTTCACACGTCCAAACTGCCAGGATTTGGAATCGGAAAGGACCGCGAATCCGAATTTGTGAAGGGAAAAAGTAAGTGTAAACTTTACGTGTAAAAAGGACACCGCATTTTGTATTAGCAAAATTAACAGTGAAACAAACGCCTATTTAGCTCTTTAACCATTTAGCGGTGCAGCACAATCTTCAAGGACGAGTGAAGGCTGCCATGGAGTCCCAATTTGGATTTTTCTTAAAGCGCACCTGCTTCTTAAATTTAGCTTTGTGGTCAACATTCTGGGGCGCTTAATTAATTTAGATCGATGCCTTTTCTTGTAGGAGCCGAAATTTTTTACTCGACCAAAGAAACGAAACGCAATCAACTCGTTTGCCTTATTTGGTAATTTAGTATAATTGTTTTTTAACCTTCAAGATAAATTGTTTGAACTCGATTTAATAACAAAACGCAAAAAATGGCGCGCAAGAGTAACTGGACTCGCTGGAATTTATGGGATTATGCACTTTTTTTTAAAATTATGTTCAAACGCCACCTTGCAGATTTGCTCTAAAAATGCTTGGGTGGATGAACTTTAAAGGGTGGTACATTTATGCAACGATTGCGCTTGTTGCACGTCGACGGATTGTGTAACTCACGGGGCGCGTCTTTTCAAAGAACCATTTTCGTAACCTCGATCTAACGAAATGCATGAAAATTGGCTTGCATAATGCTCTATACTCTGCCACACTGACAATCATTTGATTGATTTGATACTCGTATAATCAAATTGTCTACTTTCTCGTAAGACTAAATGGTGATTTCTTTGGAATTTTGAATCTTTGGTTAAAATTTATCCATTTTATGTGCAGTGATGCTTCTTATATTGATTGTTCATTTTTATTAGAATTATGGAAAGTTGCAATAATCCTACAGCTACAGACAACAGACAGGCAACAAATTCAAGAGCAAAATCCTCCCAGAAAAATGAACTGTTTATCAGAAAACAGTGTTATTTTCCGCAAGGGAAAATGAATGGCACGGATTTAATACGGAATTTTAAACTTCTAGCTAAAGTCAAAGATCTTAAAAAAAAAATACTTGCAACAATGGTGAGTTTATACACTTATTGTTATCATTCGTTTACTATTATTATAGCATTAAAAAATAACCAATAGAAACAAAGGTTTATTGTGCGTCCCTAACCAACGAAACCATACCTATCTATTGGCTATTTCTTAATGATCTATGATAGTAAACTAATGATAATGTTTGTACAAACGCACCAAAAGACACCAGTAATTAAGCCGCCGCACTAGCGATTGCCTAAAGCATATTTTTCAAACGTACTTACTCAACCTTCGACGGGCAGGTGTACTTTTATCAGTAAGGCATAATATCAAAATTTCATCAGAATCGCTTTATAATTATAACTAAGTTACTCTATGGTCACTTGATTCATTTTTATGAGAAATACTGTAGCTAAAATATCGTAGTAAATAACGAAGGTGTGATACGCTTGCAAACGCAAAATTATTCCAAATTCTTTTGTTTTTGCCCACCCTGTGCGTTGAAACCTAAATTTAAACAAGATAGGTACGAAGAATCGCATACGATTTTCAGTAGGGGAATGTTTTGACACTCGACTTTTAATTCGGCTCATATACAATAGCACTGATCCTTGAACTCAAGTTCAACTATAGGAACAGACATTCAGATGGACGGACAAAACCATCACATACGAGGATTTCTTTTTGAAAAATTCCCCTTAAAACCGCAGCTTTCGACGAGGTGCGAGATCTCAAACCCTCAGACGGAGGGACACGTAAGTATAAGCTATATGAGATTTTGTACCGTGTGTCCTATTTTGGGTGAGACTGCTCTCCAGCTGTTTTTAAAGATAGGGACTTGCGGTTTACGCGACCCTGTGCCACTTTGTTGAGAAACAGAGAATCAATCTAGCTACGTTTGTTTCTGAGATACAGGATGAAAACGAAAAGTTTGACTTTCTTATGTTATCATACCTTGCTACCCATGCAAGATAAAAAAAGGTAAAAACTGTCTATTTTAGACATGTTTACGTAGAAACCAGTGGCGTAGTAAAAAAAATGATTAGACCACCTTTTCTCAAATTTGACAGTTGGTGTTTTTTAAATGCCACAGTGCAATAATACAGATCAATTAAAACCAGGGAGGATTACCGAGCAATATTGTAAACTGACATTTTCTTAACAAACATGTCTATAAATACATGAGATTTCATCTAAAACAAGAATTCACAAAGAAAGACCCGCACTTGGGGATAAAGTTTTTTCATTAATTCCGCGTTTTAAGTAATCAATGCTTGTAGATTTTTGATTAAGAGATTGCGCTTAGAAGGTGGCATTTTGTGCTGCACTCACTGCGAGAAGAACTTTCTGTTTATGCTGTATAACCTCCAGACGCCAACAAGGAATTCAAAACCGGTAAAATCAAAGGAAATCGGGACTACAACATGCGTTATGGACATCTGAACACTTGAACACAGTCCGGATTATGGAAACATTCGGATTATCACGGGTTTGGATTATCGCAACACTACGGTTGCGTTTCTGGCATTCTTTTCCCCGATTACATTAATGTATCACAACCTATACATTTTTTAAATATAATTATACAGGGTGGTGACTTGCGTAACGCATCATGGGGATTTCAATGTAAAATTCATAACATGCGATTATTGGCTCCCCAAATTATTTTAAGAGCAAAAATGTATTAAGGTTTTTTGAAGAAACATTTTTTTGACGGCAATCAATCGTATTAGTTTTCAATTTTTTGCATAATAAAGACGGAAAATTGAAATGACACGTTTCTACGGTCAACCATTTGTATTGATTGGCATCAGCTGCCTTAGTCATCATGGATACAATAAACAAAACAAAATCTCCATGAATCCACGGCCTACTATTTAAAAACCGTAAAAAATAAGGTTTTTATTTTTGGTTTATGGCTAAAATTTAAACAAATATAGATTGTGATACCAACTTTGGGTTAAATCTCAGAAACGTTGGTCCAACATTTTTTTTACTATACCACTGGATTCTAAGTAAAAATGTCAAAAATAGGCTGTTTTTATCTTGCACGGGTAGTAACATATATGATCCCATCCCAAAAATTCAAACTTTTCGTTTTCGCCCTGTATCTCAGAAACAAATGTAGCTAGATTGATTCCGTTTGGTAATACAAGTTTCACAGGGTCCCAAAAACCGTAAGTATATATGTTTAAAAACAGCTGATATACACAGCAATCTACAGGCGGTACTTAGGATTTTGAGAACCGCTTGAATTCTGTGCATTTGCTGTTTCTGAAGTAAAATTGCCGAATAAAGAACGTTTTGTATGGTTTCTGTACAAATTTATAGTGACCATTTGATCCGTGTATTGTGTCTGATCATCATTACCTATTGAAAATGGTAAAAATAGTTTTTTTTGCACTCATGAATTCCATTTATTTAGTTGAAATAAATTCATGGAATGACGCGTCATCTTAACATAGTATCGCATTTTGTAAAGTATCGTTACTTGTTTCTATTTCGGTTTCTTTCACAGCGGTGTAGATACAGTAACAGGTTTGTAAAAAAAGGTTTGCAAATCTACATACTTTAAAAATCATAGAATTCAAAATTTGAAGAGTTTTGACGTTCTATGCGCAACCGCATGGCTTATACAGTGTCCCGTTACGAAAGTTGGCTATTTATATATTCAAAAGGAGACTTCGGAATAATTTGAGAATTTCGCAATGTACTGTCGATACATCTAAAATATCTTCATATTGGTTTGTCCGCTTACCTGTTGCCAAGTTAGTTATTTTAAATGGAGCACCCTGTATATTATGTCATGTTTAGTTTTTTTGTAATTGAACAGTATTATTTTAAATCCATTTTCGATTTCTGGATCAAATTCTATGCATATTAAAAATAATTCGAAAATTGATTTTTTTTAAACTGTATTTTTTGACGCACTCTGTATTTTTTCTCTTTAGTGGAAAGAATGCACAAGGAAAAATTATGACAAAAGTGTGGGAGGAGTTTTTTAAACCCAACACTTGATTTTTAAATGAATTTCCATATATTAGCATTTTACGTAGAATCTAAAAATGAAATAATATATACGCTGTTTTAAAACCATTTTAAAATAAGATGAAAACTAACTTGAAATAATTTTAGATGAGCTTGTCTTATCAACATTAACATACTGTCGAATTTTAAATTAAATTCGTCGTGAGACACCCTGTATAGTTCGTTAGAAAGTAAAACAAAATTTGGAATCGCCCAGTGCAAACTTCGAACTCCACCCCTCTTTACTTTAAAAAATCGAAATTGTGTTTACTATATTATTGCATAGGGGCGCGAGGGGCCGTGCATCTAAAACGATATCTTTTTTATTATTAACTGGGAAACGGAATGTGATATGCAATTTTTAGGATATATTCTCTCGTAAAAATGTACGGGGCGGTTCAAATTCGTGGCTCACCATTGGGATCTCCCGATCCCCGTAACGGTGAGAGCGTGAGACATACAGTGTAGGTTAAATAGGGGAAAGTTGCACCTTTTTGTGACTGAAAAAACGCTTTTGAACAAACTGAAAATGTCTAATTTCGTTTTCATTTTCCCCAGATAACACGCTAGATATAGAAGTTGCGGGCTATTCGAGGGGCTATTCCTTTCTTATTTCTTATGAGATAAGAAGACAAAAACACGAATTCATTTGAATGCATCGCCATCATAGCCATGTTGATTCAGCAAGTTATCCGTGGATGTTATGTTGAGAAATGAATGTAAAACTTTTAATTTTGAAATTTATGTAAAAGTATAGAGTGTGACATCTCATTATTTTTCTTTTTTGTCCTCCACCTTATTCCGTAAAAATCCAATAAGGCGCCCATAAGAAATAAGAAAGTAGTAGTAGCCTATAGTTTCTACATCTAGCGTGCTATGAAAATTCTGATAATAAATTCAGATTCTCCGAAAAAAAGGGAACCGCCAACTTCCTACCGTCTAAGCTAGGGAAAATGAAATTTGGCATTTTCAGTTTTTCGGTGATATCTTAGTTATTTCCAAAG